AAGACATGACAAAATAATAATAATTTATAAATTGTCAAGGGTTCATGAGGGAGGGAGAAATGGGGAGGGAGTTTCAGGAGCTGAAACTACAGGCTCAAGTAGAAAGTAAATGTTTTGAGAATGATGATGGCAACAAATGTACAAACGTGCTCGACACAATTGATATTTGTATGGATTGTGATAAGTGTTGTACAAGCCCCCAATAAAGTGATTAAAAAACCCATCAATGTGTGGGCTTATTTCTGGATTCTCAATTCTATTCCAACGGTCCTTATGTCCATTATGACCCCATACTATGTCATTTGTTTTAAAATCACAAGAGTGCGGGTCTTCCTACTTTGCTCCCCCCTTTGATCACGTGTTCAGCTATTGGGTCCTCTTGCCATTCCAAAGAGAGCAGAGGATTTGGGTTTCTATTTCTGTAAAGAAAGCTTTGATCAAGATTGAATTGAATCTATTGATTTTATTGACATCTTAATAATCTTAAGCCTTTTAATTAGTGAACATGGAATCTTCCCAGTTATATGTCTTCTTTAACTCTTTTTAGCAGTGTTACACAGTTTTCATTGTGTATAAAGCATCGTGTATTAACATCCCTGGTTAAGTTTATTTGTGGGCATTTTATTCCCTTAGATGCTGTTTTAAATGAATATATTTCTCCCTAGACTTCCTTTTTTTTCCTCCCTAGACTTCTTATCCCTGAGTGTTCGAAGCCCAACTGATTTTCGTTGACCTTGTACCCTATAACTTCTAAATTCCTTTATCATCTCTAGACCTCTCTTGTGGATTGTTTGGGATTTTCTATATGTGGGGTCACATCTGCAAATAGAGATCATGTTACTTCTTTCCCATTTGGGAGCCTCTTATTTATTTTTCTTGCTTTATTACTCTGGCTGGAACTTCTAATACAATATTGAATGGAATTGGTGAGAGCAGGCACCCATGTGTTGTTCTCGACTTCAGGGAGAAACCGCTCCGTCTCCGTGAAGGTGAATGATGCCTGTTGACGTATGCCCTGAGTCATATTGAGGAATTCCCCTCTGTTCCCATCTTCTTGAGGGTTTTCCTCAAGAAAGTGTGCTGGATTTTATCAAATGTGTTTTCTGGATCTGTTGAATGACCATTGGCTCTTTCCCATTGTTTTGTTGATGTGTATTATGTTGATGGATTTTCTAGTGGTGAACCATCCCGACATTCCTGGAATAAATCCCACTTGGTCATGCCACATGACGCGTAATACACTGTTAGCTTCTGTCCGCTCGTACCTTGTTCAGGGTTTTCACATCTGCATCCATCAAGGACACTGGCCCGTGGTTGCCTTGTCTTTTCTTGTGAGGGCTCTGCCTGGTCTCGGTGTCAGGCTTGTGTTTGCTTCATAGAGCGCAATGGGGAGGACGTGTTCCTTCTCTATATTTTGTAAGAGTTTAAAGAGTACTGGGGCCCACATGGAACAACATATCAACCTGTGTGATCACGGGTTGTCGAACGGATCACTGAAGACAAATGGGTGCATAAGCAAATGTGGTGAAGAAAGCTGATGG